CGGGTCACTCCAACTAGGCTGCAGCTCCCACTGGTTTATGCGAGGGCCAAGTATATACTGGGCAGAACCAGGCTGGACTGCAACACCCATTGGTTCCAGTGGAAGTCGGGAGTAAAAACAGAACCAACCCAACAACTGCAACCACCAGCTGATCAGGGCGATGGACTGAGCCGGGCCTGTACTTGTTAGCACATACAAGAATCTGGTTTGAGCACACCTCAGACAGTTTCTTTGGAGATCTCCCCAATCAAAATGCTGGACTCAGAACCCCAACCAAGAAAAGAGAGAAGACAGAGCAGGTCAACCAACCATCTCAGCTATGATGGACTATGTCAATCAATGGATTCTTCAAGGACCTCATAGTGCTTAGAGTGGCAAGATTGACAGTGATTCATAACTGTTGAAATATCAAAACCACTTGGGCAAGAACCTCAGAGCATACCCTATATCCAGGACCTGGGGAGGATGGGAAATTGGGTGGGCCTTCTCCCTTAATACCCCCCTTTGAAACATGAAGGAAACAATATGGAAAAAATAATAGTCTTACCCACTTTCCTGTAGCCCTTGAACATTTTTACCCTAATTAACTATGTAAAGATTGTCAAAATATAAAAAATAAATTAAATTAAAAATATTACATACAAAAAAAGATTTTATTTTTATTGGAAAGTCAGATATACAGAGAGGAGGAGAGACAGAGAGGAAGATCTTCTGTCCGTTGATTTACTTCCCAAGTGGCCACAACAGCCAGAGCTGCGCTGACCCAAAGCCAGGAGCCCAGAGCCTCTTCCAGGTCTCCCAGGCAGGCGCAGAGTACCAAAGCTTTGGGCCGTCCTTGACTGCCTTCCCAGGTCACAAGCAGGGAACTGGATGGGAAGTATGGCTGCCGGGATTAGAACCGGCACCCATATGGGATCCCAGTGCGTTCTAGGTGAGGATTTTAGCTGCTAGGCCACGGCACAGTGCCCAGGAGCCAGGATTTTCTTCTGGGTCTCCCACACTGGTGCAGGATCCCCAAGGTTTTGAGTTATCCTCTACTGCTTTCCCAGACCACAAGCAGGGAGCTACAAGGGACGTGGAGCAGCCAGAACACAAACCAACATCCATATGGGATCCCAGCCGGTGCTTGCAAGATGAGCACTCAGCCACTAAGCTGTTGCACCAGGCCGCCAGCTCCCTTCTAGTATGCTAGAAAAGCAGTGAAGACAGCCTCAGTGCTTGGGTCCCTGTGTGCATGGAGCGGTTCCAGAAGACACTTCTAGTTCCAGACTTCACGCTGACCCTGTGCAGGCCCAGGCCACTGAGGCCATTTGGGAGTGAAATCTATCTGGAAGATCTCTAACTCTGCCTTTCCAAAAAAAAAAAAAAAAAGGCCAACATGTATAAGTCAAGCTCAACTTTTAGAATATCAATTTCTTATGCTTCATCACTTAATTTCTCAAATAAGAAAAGGTTTTTTAATAGGTTTTAGAACAACCATAATTCCAAAAATTTCCCTTTCTACAATGCACCAGTTTATTATTGTTACTAACATCTATTAACTTCTTGAAGCTATTTTTAAGACACTACATTTTTAGATATAAGCTAAATTCCTTATGTTAATATTTATGTATCACAATGATTTGTTAATTAGAAAACATTTTTTGCATTAAGCCAATAAAAGCAATGATTAGAATGAAATTTATCACTGTTTTCAAACACGTCCTTATTAGTCGTTTTGGTGATGCCGATCAGAAAACCAAAGTCTCTTGCTGAGGTGTACCATCAGGCTGACGTTCAGCAGGGGCTGATACTGTGGCTTAGCAAATTAAATGACTGCCTGCATCCCATGTAGACAGACACCTGTTCATGTCTTGGCTGCTCCATTTCCGACCTAGCTCCCTCCTAATGTGCATGGGAAATAATGGAGGATGGCCAGCATCCATGTGGGAAACCAAGAAGCTCCTGGCTTCAGTGTGGCCAGCGCCAGCCGTGCAGGCTAACTGGGGATTAAACCGGCAGACAGAAGACTTCTATCTCTTTCTCTGTAACTCTGCCTTTCAAATAAATAAACTCAAAAAAAAAAAAAAAATCTTAGCAGATCACCAAACTATATTATCCTATAAAAAAAAAAGAAAAAAAGCTTCCTGTGGGATCACTGTAATATACTACATTTCCTTTCTCTCTCTCTCTTTATTTTTATCCCTTTGATGTTTCTAGAATAAAGACAACATTTTCTGAAATTCATTAGACATAGGAAAAATTTCACAACTTTTACTATCTGTTGCTTTCACATTTTTTAAAAGAACCTACTCACTTAAATAAATTTTAAAAATTAAAAAAAGAACTTACTCAATTATTTGCTGAAATTATACCCAAACAAGTTTAGAAGTTTAGAATGTAATAAGAACATTACTTGGCTTTTCAAAGTCATTGAGGAGTAGCACTTAACTAAAATAGACTGTATTAGCTGAAGACATTTCTTGAAAATTGCGCATGAACGTCTAAAAGTAGACATCAAAGAACACAAACTTTTAATTGCTGAAGTTTAAAATTCAAAAGAAAAAAAATCTACATTCAGATCAATGGAGGGAGGGGGAAAGAAATAAAGTTACTCCTCCCAAAGTCAAGGGGCTGTAAACACTCAATGCAAGTAAAATTTAGCATCAATGTGGCAAGGCAATCGCAAATGCTTACAACTTCAGGAAAGCACTGATAATTTTTAATTTAGTGTCATAGATTATGTCATTTTTATACGAGTATGAAAAAAAATACACTCTACTATTGAAGTCCTGAGCAATAGAGAACACTGATTTCTATCCTTTCTTTGGGACAACTGTACAGTAACTTTGTAAAATTATCTTAAAAAAGCAAAAGAGAAAAAAAAGTAAAAGAGAGGAGTTAGGTTAGTGGAATATAAAACTCACTCCTAAGTTTTATTAAATGAAATTATAAAATAGAAACATTTATTTAAACTATCCAAAAATAAAACCAGTGAAATATAAAAATACATTTTAAATATTAGGCACTACAATAAGAACATAAGTAGGATAGGATTTTTTTACTCATACACATGAAACTACCATATATTGGGCCTTACTAGAAAATAAATGAGATATGGGGCCCGGCGCTGTGGCGCAAGTGGTTAAAGGTCCTCGCCTTGCACGCCCGGGATCCCATATGGGCGCTGGTTCTAATCCCGGCAGCCCCGCTTCCCTTCCAGCTCCCTGCCTGTGGCCTGGGAAAGCAGTCGAGGACGGCCCAAAGCTTTGGGAACCTGCACCCGCGTGGGAGACCCCGGAAGAGGCTCCTGGCTTCGGATCGGCATAGTATCGGCCTGTTGCGCTCACTTGGGGAGTGAATCATCGGACGGAAGATCTTCCTCTCTGTCTCTCCTCTCTGTATATCCGCCTTTCCAATGAAAAAATAACAAAAATAAATCTTTAAAAAAAAAAAAAAAAAGAAAAAAAAGAAAATAAATGAGATATGAAGGTGGTTTGCACAGTGAAACAGTGGTATTTAAGATATTTTAAATGACAAAGAGTAAAAGGGAAAAGGGATAGTATTTTTGGCTGTTCTACTTCTAATGGTATTTCCTGTTAAAACACCTGGAAAAAGCAGTGGAGGATGACATGACTGCTTAGGCCCCTGCTGCCCGTGGGGGAGACTGGGATGAAGCTGCAGCTCCTCGCATTGCACTGGCCCAGCAATGGCCAGCGGAGGAAAGATCTCTCTTTTTCTATCTCTCTGAGATTTATTTATTTTTTTCATTGGAAAGGCGGATATACAGAGAGGAGAGACAGAGAGGAAGATCTTCTGTCTGATGATTCACTCCCCAAGTGAGTGCAACGGCGGATGCTATGCCAATCCGAAGCCAGGAGCCTCTTCCGGGTCTCCCACGCAGGTGCAGGGTCCCAAAGCCTTGGGCCGTCCTCGACTGCTTTCCCGGACCACAGGCAGGGAGCTGGATGGGAAGAGGGGCCGCCGGGATTAGAACCGGCGCCCACATGGGATCCCGGGCGTGCAAGGCGAGGACCTTAACCACTTGTGCCACCGCGCCGGGCCCAGAAATTGACTTTTTTAAGACTTATTTATTTTTATTGGAAAGGCAGATATGCAGAGAGGAGGGAGACAGAGAGGAACATCCTCCATCTGTCGATTTACTCTCCAGACAGCTGCAGTGGCTGGAGCTGAGCCAATCTGAAGCCATGAGCCAGGAACCTCTTCCGGGTCTCCCACATGTGTGCAAGGTCCCAAGGCCCTGGGCCGTCCTCTACTGCTTCCCCAGGCCCAGGCCACAAGCAGGGAGGCTGGATGGGAAGCAGTGATACTGGGATTAGAACCAGTGGCTCATATGGGATCCTAGAGAGTGCAAGGTGAGGATTTTAGCCGCTAGGCTATAGCACTGGGCCCAGAAACTGACTTTTAAAAGAAATAAATTGTAAAGGGGTGGGGGGCAGGGAAGAAGGTGCCATTGTGGCATAGCAAGCAGATCAAGTGGATGTTCTGTGGCACAGGTACCCACATGGGCACCAGTTCAAGTTCCTTCTGCTTTATTTCCAATCCAACTCCCAGCTAATGCTCCTAGGAAAGCAGACAAAAGACAGCCCAAGTCCCTGGATTCCTGCACCCCCAAGGGAGAACCAGAACAGACTCCTGGCTCCTGGCTATAGCCCAACCCAGACCTAACTGAGGAACCATTTGGGGAGTGCTCAGTGGATAGAAGCTCTCTTTGTCTCTCCTTCTGTAATTTTGGCTTTTAAGTTTAAAAAAAATTTTTTTTAAAAAAAGAGGTGATGAATGTGTCTTATATATACACATATGAAGTACATGTTTTTGGTGGCATACATCGAATTACTTAGAAAGCTATACAGGACACAGCTAACACCAGCGCTAAGGGCAATAGCACAGCTGGACGACAGTTAGAGAAAAGGCTTCTTTGAGTCACCCTTCATATATTTTCAATTTTGAGCAATGTCAATATATACTGATCAAGAGAAAAAAAGTTAAAAGTACTTTACCTTGCACCATTGCTCCTAATGACTTCCACAGTTTCTTCAACAAAATACCGATCCTTGATATACGCAAAAATGTCATCGCAGACTTCTTGTAAGCGTGAACGACAGGTAAAGCTGGCCAAGCATAACACTGGGATAATTAGTGGTTCTGGAAAACTCTGAAGATTCTGCCTTGCTTTTTTTTCTGACTCAAGTGCTTCCTGGTATGTCAGTCCAGGTCTACCCGTCACAGCACAACTCCACACAAGACTGTTGCACAGGATGGTTCGTTCGAAGAAGTCACTGATTAAAAAACAGGAAAAAAAAATTCATTACCTATCATTTCATACAATTCATCTTTAAAGCTGATATTCTTTTTTACTTTTTTTATTGGAAAGTCAGATATATACAGAGAGGCGGAGAGACAGAGAGGAAGATCTTCTGTCCGATGATTCACTCCCCAAGTGACTGCAATGGCTAGAGCTGCGCCGATCCAAAACCAGGAGCCAGGAACTTCCTCCAGGTCTCCCACACGGGTGCAGGGTCCCAAGGTTTTGGACCATCCTTGACTGCTTTCCCAGGCCACAAGCAGGGAGCTGGATGGGAAGTGGGGCTGCCGGGATAAAAACCGGTGCCCATATGGGATCCCAGCGTGTTCAAGGTGAGGTCGCTAGGCCACACCGTGGGGCCCTAAAGCTGATATTCTTATCAGTACATTTTGTGTCTTTAAAGCAGAGTTTTATACAGAATTACAGAATCCAAACGTGGGCTTAGTAATTGGTCAAGTTATATACATCAAAAGAAACCTAAGAATAAAAACTGGGCATTTATATTTTTTAATCTAAAGGCACAGAAACAAAATTTAAATTTCAAGTACTATTAGTTAAAAGTAGTGGTCAAACTACATATATATTCAATTTTATTGTAATTTGTACACTTTTTGTCCCAAAGTAGTCAAACCACTACAAATAACACTAGCATTTAAGTAGGAATTTTTGTTAAAAGCTTTAACATAGTAGTGAAAAAATGAGAAATTTAAGCAAAAAAAAAAACAGGAGAAGGACTAAATATAGTTCTTCATACAACAAAAAAGTTGTGACTAAAATTTGAAAGGTGTAGAGACACCCAGAGTACTCCGAGCCACAAGCTTTTGCTACAACGCCTGTAACAGCAAGGGCTGGGCCAAGCCACAGGCAGAGCTGGATATTAATCTGGCATTCCCACGTGAGTGGCACAGCAGCAAGTTTTCAAGCCTTCAGTTGCTGCCTGCAAGGGTGCACATTAACCAGAAGCTGAAACTGCAACTGGAGCTGAGAGGGACTCAAACTCAAAAAGTTCCGGTATGAGGTATGAGCGCTAAGCAGTGACTTAACCTATAGCACCAACATCCCATATACGCATCAGTTCAAGTCCTGGCTGCTTCACTTCTGATCCAGCTCCCTGCCAAATGGCATAGGAAGGCAGCAGAAAATGGCCCAAGGGTTTAGGCCACTGCACCCATATGAGCCATGGAAAAATCTCCTGGCTCTCAGCTTAGGATCAGTCTAGCTCTGGCCATTTGGACCATTTGGGAACTGAATGGGAAAAATGGGAGTTCTCTGTCTTCTTCCTCTGCAACTGACTTTCATGTAAAATAAATCTTTTTTTTTTTTCTTACAATTTATTTACTTTTATTGGAAAGGCAGATACACAGAGAGGAGGAGAGACAGAGAGGAAGATCTTCACTCTGGTGGGACTAATGTGGTAGCTCAACATGCTAGTGCTCTGTCTGCAACACTGGCATCCCAAATGGGTGCTGGTGCATGCCCTGGCTACTCCACTTTCCTTCCAGTGCAATGCGTATGGCCTGGGAAAGCAATGGAGGATGGCTCAAAACCTTAGGATTCTGCACCCATCCAGAAGATGTGGAAAAAGCTCCTAGATCAGCTCAGCTCTGGCCATTGCAGCCATCCAGGCAGTGAATGCGCCACAATCCCATGTAGGCCACTGATTCTAATCTTGGCAGCCCCGCTTCCCATCCAGCTCCCTGCTTGTGGCCTGGGAAAGCAGTTAAGGATGGCCCAAAGCTTTGGGACCTTGCATCTGCAAGGGGAGACCCGGAAGAGGCTCCTGGCTCCTGGCTTCAGATTGGCACAGCTCCAGCCATTGCAGCCACTTGGGGAGTAAATCATTGAATAGAAGATCTTTCTCTCTGTCTCTCCTCCTGTCTGTATATCTGAATTTCCAATAAAGATCAATAAATCTTAAAGAAACAATCAATTTTTAAAAATCAGAAATAATACAAATTTTATTGTCAACAAAAACATATGCAAATTTAAAATGAAGATAAATATAGATAAGTGAAGATAAAATACAGATTAATGCAGGCATTATGATGACCATATTCCCTCAGTGATCCCTTTTGTCAGTGGTGGGGATAGTTTGGGGATGGAAATTAAACTGAGCCCTGCACCGGGAGAGGCAGCTGTTCTGGAGCACAGGCATACCCATGCATACTTTAGGTACTGCACCTTCCTTCATTACTGGTGGTAGGTGCAAGAGACTACAGAGCCACAGGAGTCTAAAACACTGAATGTGCTGCTCTTAAATAGTAAAACATGATGGTCCCACCTGTTCATTACTATTTCCTAAGTAAAAACTACTTCTAATTTACAAGGCAGAGAACTTTTTCTAAGAACACACTTGTAAAATAAAGTCAATAATTCTGTTGAACGAGGTTAACAAAACGTTAATATTCAGGCTATGGGTAAAACTGAAATCTAGAATTCAGTGACATAAAAAAAAAATAATCACACATCAAGTGCAAATGCAACTCAGATGAACACAAAATGCACACTACTTAAAAGCACAAACACATAAAGCAGATATAATACATTTTAAGAATGAGCTAGCACAATTTAGCAGGAAAGATCTGAGGGCATTACAGACACTCCTGCCCACAAAACTGGTAACTGAGAAATGTAGCCAGAGGTAAAAAAAAACTAATGCAATTCCCTATTTAAACAAGAGTTGGGAGGTATGACTTATAGTGTAAAAAAAAAAGAGAGAGAAGCAATCCTTGCTAAATGGAGCATGAGCAGTTCTCTTCATTGACAGGGTTACAAGAACAGGAGATTACGGGCATAACAAATTTAACACGTATCTAGGTACTAGCTAAATGAAATGTTTTTGCATTTTTAATAATTACAAATGGTCACAGGAAAAATTTCATTAATAACTTTTTGTCTTTACTCCTTTTTGAAAAGCAGAGACAGGTAGGACATCACTCACCAGTTCATACCCTAATTGGCCAAGATGGTAAGGGCTGGGCCAGGGCAAGGTGAAGATCTAGGAACTTCATCTGTGTCTCCCACATGGCTGGAAGGAACCCAACCACTGGTAGGTAGATGGAACGGAGAGAGGAGCTGCGACTTGAACCCAGGCCCTCTGACATGGGTCAAATGTGTCCCAACTGGTGTCTTAACCAGTAAGTCACTTACCGCTCTTTCTCTTCCCCTTTTTTTTTTTTTTCTAAAAGAGCTTCCTTAACTTCCTAGCCAATAATTACCAGCTCTATTTCTCTATTTTCTTTCTTTTTTTTTTTTTTTAAGATTTATTTTTACTGGAAAGACAGATCAAATTTATGGATCTTCCATTTGCTGGTTCATTCCCCAAATGGCTGCAATAACCAGAGCTGAACTGATCCAAAGCCAGGAACCAGGAAGCTTATTTCCTCTCTCCCACAGGGCAGGGTCCCAAGACTTTGGACCATTTCATAGGTATCCAAAGTGCACCCAAGACTAAGAAGGAGTGGGGCGAGCACTGTGGCTCAGTCAGGAAAGCCACCATCTTCTACACTGGCATGCTATATGGGAGCCACTTTCAGTACCAGATATTCTACTTTCCAGCCAGCTCCCTACTAACACACCTAGGAAAGCAATAAAGATGGCTCAAGTGCTTGGGTCCTAGCCGCCCACATGGGAAACCTAGAAGAGGCTCCTGGCTTCAGATCTGCTCAGCTCTGGCTGTTGTGGCCACTTGGGCAGTGAACCAGCAGATGGAATATCTTTCTCTTTGTAGATCTGCCTTTCTACGAAGAGAAAAATAAACAAACCTTTAAAAAGTTTTCCTCCAATTGTTTACTGAAAACAAAATTTTCCTGTCTTAGGATATAGCATCTTTATACATATAACTAGCATTAACACACCAGGGTTTTTAGTGGAAAACTACAGAACAGTACCTATTTTTTATGGAGAAAAATGTAATTTACAACATAATTTAATATAAAACATAATCTATAATGTTCAGTGAGAATGTTACTGATGATTTTCTTTCCCAAGATGTAGGACAAAATCTTTAATTTACAGAATTCCTTTTTGACTCAGATGATGATTCTTTATAGACCAATAAAATGATTATAAACATTTTCACAAATGTAAATCTTCTTTTCTGCTACCTTATCACTAGTGGGATTTTTACTTTGTTGCTTTAAAATTCAATGCAGAAAAGTTGTTGACTTAGGGGAAACAAAATCAATTCAAATTTTTTGTTTAAAAAATAAACAAAAAAAATAGCAAAAAGAAAAGTATGAATCTCAGTTGTACCACTTTTAGAAGACAAATTTGGATAAGTTCTACAACTTCCTTGATCCAGTTTCCCCTCTTGAAACTGGAAATAATGCCCCCCTTAAACAGTCGATGTGAAAATCAAATGAGTTTAATTCTAAATAAATGCTGCCTTGGTACAGATGTACTCAATGAATATTCCCTATTCTAACCATCCAGGCACCACTCTAACAGAGATCCTAGGAGAATAACAAGTATGACAAACAATGTCAGAGGAACACACAAAAGATAGAGAACGTTCAAAGAGCAAGTCTGGCTTTGGGTATGGGGCACGAAGAAGCAGAGTTGAACCTGTGAGAATATTTCTTCTTGGCAGTTCCTGAAAACAAACCAAGGAACAACAGGAGTTACGGGCAAAAACACAGTTGAGTCATTGTGGTCAGTAGCTCAGGGACAAGCTAAGAAACAAGGTATGTCCACAAGCTGTTGAGATGATTTTCAATATATTCTGACCGATAACATCCACCAGCTTATCAGTGAACATCCAAATTAAGCATGGAGAAGTCTGTGGCAGACTATTCCCAAGAGGGTAAAGGTGTGTACAGTTCTCTTCAAACGTGGCATTGATGCCCTTTTTGCCAAGAGGTGGATTCTATTTCACCACTCCTTGAACCTGGGTTAGCTTTTTGATTCCTGTTAATCCATATGATACAGAATTTACACGGGGAATTTTTGCCCATGAGAAGCACAGGATAGCCTTGTAAGGATGAGAGACTACATGGTAAGAAAATCTCTCCCAGCTGAAGTCATAACCCCAGCCCAGCCTCTAGCTGACAGCTGCCAGGGGATGGAACAGAGACCAGCAGAAATCCAACTGACAGTGAGCAAATAAATGGGTCGGCACTGGGGGTCAGCTATGTTTCACACTACGTTGGAGCTACATTTCACACTAAACTATACATATGTATATATATTCTGTCTGAAGGAAGAATACATTAGTACATCACAGTGTTGCCTAAGAAGCAAGTTTTTAAAAAGTTCCAAAAGTAAACCAAATAGGAATCTTCCCTACATCATGCAAAGGAGAAAAAAAAAAAAAACCCAGAGTGAGACAATTTGTGTGCTCAAATATTAGGACCATGTGGCAGATACAGTCCAAAAGAAAAGTTAAATACCAAATTTGAAGACAATAGCAAGGAAGACAGCCAAGCTTCTCTTAAAAGCCTCAGATTTATCAAACAGCCTTTGCCTGTAACTAGATTTCATATATAACTGATAAGTATCAGAAATCCTTAGTGTGAAGTATTTCCCCCACTATACAACGACAGCATTCTGGTTCGTCCATTTAACAGCCAGATGTTAAGCATGCTGGATACGGGAAGGTAAATGTCTTGACTGGATGGTACAGTGGTACCTACACAGAAACTAAGGCAGCCAACTTGAGTTCCAGGAAATACCCCTGTCTTCTCAGTGTATATTGCTGAAAATCTCAGGTATTAGAAATTCTCCATAATACAGTTGTTATTCTAGTGCCATCAATTGCTAGACAAATGCTTTTGAATGCCATGCCTTGGACCTTTCTATCTCAACCTCAGTTTCATCATCTGTAAAAGGGAGCTTCTGAAAAAACTGCAAGAGGGGTCAGGGCTGTGGTGTGCAGTGCCAGCATCCTTATGGACACCACTTCTGATCCAGCTCTCCACTGGTGTGCGTGGAAAAGCAGAAGATGGCTCCAGCGCTTGAGACCCTCCAGCCCACATGGGAGACCTAGAAGTAGCAGGCTCCTGGATTCCATCTGGCACAGCCCAGCTCATTACAGCCATTTCGGGAGAGAACTAATAAATGGAAGCTCTCTGTAACTCCTCCTCTCACTAACTCTACTTTTCAAATAAACAGCTCTCATGTCACAAGAAAAAGCTGGGTTTTTGTTTAAGAAAGGACTGTATTAAATTGAGAGCTAACAAAAAAGAAAAACAAGATAGAAAGCCAGCTTGAAAGATAAGGTGGACTATTAGTCAATATGAAAGAGGATCCTATATTTTGTTTGAAAAGTTGGGAAGTATATTTCAATTACAAATATCCAAATTTTTTTAAAGATCATTTAAGAGAATAAGTCTACAAATGATTTCCTATCTCACAGATCTAGAATTTCTGGTATTCAGACCTGATTAGTCCATTTTTAATAAGCCATAGACAAAAAGGAAAAAACTAGAATTGTTGTTAGCTAACCAAAATGACAGAATGAATCGTTATCCGACGTAAGAGACAAAAAGTATGTATTTTAGTTTATGCATGTCCATAGTGTGTTATGTCTATTAAGATTTACATATGAAAACAGGTCAAACAAGAGTCAGCAATTAGGAGTACATAGTTCAAACGAACAAAATTAAAGAGGGTGTACTGTGTAATCAGTGAGACTCCATCCTGGTTACAGCCTCTGTCTCAAAGGATTCAGGATCTTGGGAAGAAAAAAAAGCAAGAGGCAACAAACACAGCAAAAGACACCACACAAGATAAAGAAAGGGGTAAGCAACGCTGCTTAGTAAGAAAGAACGCAGCAAGTGAGCCCAGGGGTCTTCAGAACACACAAGAAAAACACTCAAAATAATGCACCTGAAGGGTAATCTTCAAACGCACACCAACCAACTGGTGATTGGATGAACGTGTGAAAACAAGTTTCCTTCAGTTGCTCCAGACTTGCAGCAAGGGTCAGATAACCACAGTACTCAAGACCAACATATACCACCCACTCTAAATGCAATTTTAGAAAGATTTCCATGGAATCGTTTAAGAGAAAGTGATTCAATAGTTCACATAATTAAATGGCAGATTTCTTCATTTCAGCCAGTTAAGTCATCAAGATTAATACCCAAGAACACCAAGTATCCTGCTTCTTTCAGGTAAGCAACGCAACCTCTGCTGCCACACCAACCAGTTCTCAACACTGAAACACTCTAGCACAGAGAAAAAGTCAAAATAAAAGCTATTTAAAAATGTTTAAATGACAAATGGCCATAAAGATACAGTTCCTTTATACCAATGGATGGTAGATAGGTTTAGATTTAGAATGTCAAACTTTTTCTTTCAGCATTTCAGATTTCTCCAGAGTTACTATAAATCATCCCAGGAGCCAAAGTACACACAGTGTTTATGATGAAGTTTTTAAGAGCCACATCTGCCCTACTGGCTACAGTGAAGAGAGCCTCTTAAAAAGACTGCTTACATTAAAAGAGAAAAGTTTGAAATGGAAGCCGGTTTCCTACCTTCTTCGCTTCTAACTACATTTTTAAAAAAATGTTCCCAAAATTTTCAGTTTAAATAAAAAAAAAGAAAAAAAGCATATTCCTCCAGTTACCTAATGCAACCTCATTTAAGCAGTTACAGGAGTGAACTCTATTTGAGTAACAAAACAAGTCTGTACAGGAGCACAGTGAGATGTGTCCTCCTCCAAAAGTACTTCTGATGAGAAGTGCTATCTGCTTCTCCAGATAGAGCCTGCGTCTGTGTAACCCTTTCTGGGGACCTGAAGACAAAAGAAGGCTTACTTTAAAATAAACGTTCCAAGGAACCGATTTTTTTTAACCTAATTTCCCAGACAGGTGCAAAGCTGGCCTAAAGCCTTCCTCGTTTCAGTACCCACCCAGAAAAAGCCTCCACGCAGCGCCATTTAGTTGCTGTAAGACTCTAAACCACAAAGGGATTCCTTCCGAGTTGGGTGAGGGTGGGAGGGAGAGAATTAAAACATAACAACAACAAAAAAATCGGTGCTCCAAGTTCTCCATAGAGATCCTGTTTCAACGAAGACCGCTAAAGCATACCTCAATATACCCCAATGCTACGTGTCAAGGACAAGGCAATTTCTGGGGATAACACCGGGCGACGGGCGAAAACTCGGGTGCTGAAACTACAGCAGGAGCAGCTCTGGGTTCTCATCAAAAAACAATAGCCAGTGGCACACGTCAGGCGGCCCACCAGCGCAGGGCAACCGAGGGGCGAGACCGGCTCCCGCTGCAGTTGAACTTGTCTTCACCCCTCCCCCAGCTCCCACCGCCGCGCTCCGGGCTACGTGAAAGTGAAAACGAGGGGGCGCCCAGGGCCCTGCTCTCTTCCCCCTTCCACCACCCGCCCGGCCCCGACTGTTTCCTCACCGGTCTCCCGGGGGCGGAGTCGCCGAGTTCCCCGGGGACCGGAGTTAGTCACCACAAGAGGCGGTGACAGGGCGCCACGGCTCGCGTCGCCCCCTCCGAGGCCTAGCCGCGCGGGGCCGGGCAGCGCAGCCCGCACTGGCCCTGGCGTCCCGGCCCTTTGGGGAAGCCGCCCCGGCGGCTCCTTCCCTTCCACAGGCGACAGCGCTCAAGTCCGGTCCCCTCCCTCCCACCCCTACCCTGGGCAAGCTCTAACGTCAGAGCCCAGTCCCGGGCGAGGCGGCGATCCGCGGGCAGCCCTTGCCCAGCCGTTTTCTGCCCTCGGGCCCGGGAGGGACGGCGGGCTGGGCCCCCCGCGATGCTGACCCGAGCGGGGATCCCCTCGGTCGCCGGCCGGGGATCCCGGAACTGGCCCCGGAGTGCGCGTGTGGCCGCGGCGGGGAGGGGCGAGGCGGGGAGTTTCCGCCGCCCCGCAGCCGGACGACAGCAGCGGCCCCAGGAGCGGTCCCCGCGGTCGGCTGGTGGTCGGGGGGCTCGTGGGGGGCGGCGGGGGAAGGAAGGTGGAGGGGGGGGAACCTCAGCCTTCTCCGCCGCAACCCGTTTACCCGCAGCTGCGCGCCGCAGAGCCACTTAACCGCGTGCGGTGTCCGGGCCAGGGCTTTGCGAGGCAGGGAAACGCGGGCCCAGGGTCACCCGTCACTTTCAAGTGCCACCCACCACCCACCCAGCCGAGAGAAACCCAAGGGAGAGGAGACAAAAGGGCGCTGGGGTGAGGGAGAAGGCAGGGGGTCCCCACACCCGTCCGCGCCTCCCCGGTGCCCGGCTCGGCTCTTACTCGTAGTGGCGGAAGATCTCGTTGGTGACTTTACAGTAGAAAACTTCCTCGTCGGGCCGCAGGTCCGCGGGCGGCTTCTGTCTCACAAACGGCTTTCGGTGTAGCAGCGGCATCTCCCGTCCGCCCGCGGGGCTCGCCCCGACCCTCGGCCGCCCGCGTCGCGGCCCGGCTTCCCTATCAAAATTGGAGGGAAAGAAAAGCCGGTAAGGTGGGGGGGCGGGGGGAACGCTCGGCGGCGTGGGCCGGTTCCGCGCGCCGGGCCGGGGGCGGGGGAGGGCAGGCTCGGCTGCTGTCTTTTGTGTGACTGACGCTCCCCCGACTGCCACCGGAGCCGAGTTCTCGCTCGTGCCTCCTCGGGCCCTCGCAGCGCGCCCCGCCGCCCGCCGCCGCCGGCTCACAATGGGGGCCGCACGCCCAGCCGCGGCGGCGGGCGGTGCGGGAGTGGCGGCGGCCTCCTCCCCCAGCACCGGCTCCCCGCCCGCCGTCCGGCTCCACAACGTGCTCGGCTCGCAGCCGGCCGGCCCCACGCCGCGAGGGCGCTCCCCGGCGGGCGGACCCCGGCGCGGCTCCGCTTTGTTCCCCCCCGCTTCTCTCACACACTTCCCCTGCCGGGCTCCGGCCGGACTCCCGAGCCCCTCACCTGCGAGCACGCCGGCTGCCGCTTCTCTACCTTCGCGACTACCGGAGGGAGGGAGGCTCCGTGGCCCCCCGGGGGTCACTTCTCGGCCGGCCGCCCCGCCGCCCCCGCGTCTGCCGCCTCTCCCCGCTGCCACTGCCTGTCTCCGGCGCGGCGGGGGGGGAATCGCGTCGCACCGCCACTTCCCCGCCTCTCGGAGCTCCTGGGAAGTTTCTGATCTACTTTCGGCTCCGAAGGAGGAAGAGCGGTTGGGAGGAGCCTTTCGTTGCTCGCTTCTACCTTTTTATTGGCTGCTCGATGACTTTTACAGCCTGTCACTGATACAGGAAGAGACGGCGGAGTGCCTGGGAGAGCTACATTATTAATTAATGGAGCAACCCCTTGTGAAGAATCAGAAGCATCCTCCATGTTTGAGATTATCAGCCAAAAAAGATCGAGCCGCGGGGGTTTCATAAACACATGGCTAACAAAGTGGAGCCCTCACCCTCAAGTCTGGCACCAGCGCTCGGCCACACGATGGGAAAGGGACCCAATTACAATTTAACGTGTAGTTTAAATGTGGGAAGTGAAATGAGGAATAAGAAATCATTCGGGAGGGGGGAGATATTTTTCTTCTTTAAAATTAGACTCCATGTCTCTCAAAGACAGTTTGCATGTGTAAACATCCATCTTGAACAGAAAATGCCTTTCCTGCCATCCATTCTTTTTCACACTTAGGGTCAAAGATTTAGACAAGCATAGGAAAAAACAACAAAAGAGTATTGTTTTTAAAATGTCATCACCCCTATGGGATCTCCTCCCACATATTTACAATTAGTTCGGCACTTTTAAAAACTACTGTTGGGACCACTGTGCATCTTTTGACAAGGTGCGATGTTTAATTCAATTGGGATTTTAAAGATTACAGATTTACTAGTGACTTCTCCCCTAAACTAACTTCTGTGTCAGTAATTTTCATTTATGAAGTCAATCTTACTGTTCATAATACATGTGACTTGAATTGCAAAGAATTTTTGAAACTACAAGTGACTCAATATTCGCTATCTTTGTGTTAGTGGGGTTTTTTCCCCCCATTTTGCAGCTGCATTTGATATTTGCTTATTTGCAAATTAACATGAAAAATGAGTCTAAAAGTGAGGCTCACTTCTTATTCCTTCTAATTACTGGCAGTAAAGAGATATATCTGATGTTAATAAGAAGAGAAACCTTGTAGGATCAACTTATATCTTCAAATTCAATGCAGTTATATTTTGGAGCAGAAAATGTAAAGAATCTACTTAGATCCAGAGTAACTATTTTTGAACTTCCTTCAGGCTTGTTTTAGCTGTTTATACACATAGCAGAATCAACATTGTGAAACGACAAATATCCTCAGGGTGGTTTAAGTCCTTCATGATATTATCCCCACATATTTATCCTGTATAGAATACAAAAGTCACAGCGACTTGGAAGTACTCTCACTTAGCAAGTATATAACTTAGCCTGGGAACACTCTTCAAAAAAAACTGCTGGATTTGATGTTTTAAACTGGATCCGACTAGCACACTGAGTGACAAGTTAGAATTCCCTCACCAGAAAGTAACTATTGATTTGCTAAATGAAAAATCATTAGGTTAGCAGGTGAAATTTTGAGAGCCCACGAGAATAGACTCGATCTTCTGAAGAGACTTCAGTCTGTAGTGACACCATCACAAAAACTCCAACCTGTTAAGCCAAAAACAGATGGAATTCTCTTTGATATCTATTTTCAGATTTAATTGGTAAGTTAAGATGATTTGGCTAAAATCATGATCAAAAGTGGTAATATTATTATTATTAAATTTTCAAACAGCTGTATTTTCTTATGCTAATTAACATTGAAATTTCATGTTATTTTATCGAAAATACTGTTATACTCAATTTTCCCTCTAATCTTACTCAAAGGTCAACTCAAACATGACTCAATACTCAAATTTACATATCTGGGGTGTAATTTTTGATATTTGATTAATGTTATATATAGCTCATTACTTCAGAATAACATAAGTTTAAGAATCTCATGCTCTACTGACTGAGCTAGCCAGACTATTAGAATAGCATAAGTTTAGAAAATTGTATTTTCATATTTTTATTATGCTTTTTACAGATTGATAGCAAATCCATTCTGCCTCATCAAATAACATTTACTCTACACTTTTTTAAAGAAGATTATTTTTATTACAAAGTCAGATATACAAAGAGGAGGAGGAACAGAGAGGAAGATCTTCTGTCCCATGATTCACTCCCCAAGTGACCACTACGGCCGGTGCTGAGCCAATCCGAAGCCAGGAACCAGGAACCTCTTCCAAGTCTCCCACACGGGTGCAGGATCCCAAGGCTTTGGGCCGTCCTCGACTGCTTTCCCGGGCCACAAGCAGGGAGTGGATGGGAAGTGGAGCAGCCGGGATTAGAACCGGCACCCATATGGGATTGTGGCGCGTTCAAGGTGAGGACTTTAGCCACTATGCCATGCCGCTGGGCCCTACTCTATACTTTTAGGACTAAAAACTTACTAAGATACTAGGTATCTTTTCTGTGTCTTGATAACATAGTTACTTCCTTATTACTTGGTTTTTGAGGCTGAAAACTCATTAGATTCAGAAGATATTTTAAAAAGTTTTGCAAAAGGTACTATGAAAGGTAAAGTAGCACACAAAAAAAAAGAGAGGGAGAGAAAACAAAATAAATTTAACTTTTTAACAATTTCATTTAATTAGATATTTATCAGGCATCATTCACATACCTAGGCAATGCACTAGCTCATATAAGATATGCCATAAATCCATCCTTGGCCTCAAAAAATGTTTAGTCTTATAGAGAAGAGGGGATGTAAACACCTCCCGATACAAAAATTGTTGTGAGTGCTAATGGCCGTGAGTGAGATGCATAAAGAGAAGTAGAAAAGGTGAAGAGAAAATGTTGAAAGAGGACCCAGGATGGGGGCTGAATGATGTAATCCACAGGCACCACAAAAGGGCAACAGAAAACCACCACAGTTCCACCCTGTTCTCTTAGCCTTGAGATGCAAACCTTGATCTCCCTTGGCCGCCCTTCTGGGTGAAGACCCCGAAGCGAAGTGGAGATATACCAGTTAGGCAGCACATCCAGTAATTCAGTTCATTTTATACCTGAGCAAGTTGAAGCTTAGGAGACAGGCCTACCTGGCTCCTGGTCTTGTCAGCCTGTTTAGAACATACTGCTGATAGTATGTTGATAGTATCTAATTTTCTTGTATATCTTATTCACATGCTATAAATGAGCTAAAATATCATTAGAAATTCTCCCAAAATTGCTAAAATGTATAATGGGATAAAATTTTACTGATAAGAAAATTAGATTTTACTCATGATCAGAAATAATATCTTAATCATTCAGCAAAGCCAATGGAGTAATAAGAATCTTGAATTCATCTAATTGAACAGTGTCATTACACATCGAACAAATGGAAGCACCTATTATCCCTTACTTAGAGTTCAGCTGCTCTGGGCGTTTCTGAGAAAGGTGCCAATAAATATATATAAGGAGCATCTTTAACTTTATAAATCCCTTCATCACATATCTGTCTGACATTCTCAACTCTTCTGTTTTCAGTATCTTTCCCACAAATTCTTGATATTTTACCAAAAAAAAGATTTCTGTGTTTTGTTCTTTGCAACCAATAAAGAGGTTCTCTCTCTCTCTCTCTCTCTCTCTCTGTCTCTCTCTCTGTCTCTCAAAGGCAGAACAGATAGAAGGAGAGACAGATTCTCCATCTGCTGTTTCACTTTCCAAGTAGCCGCAATGGTCGGAGCTGAGCTGATCCAAAGCCAGAGACCAGAGAACTTTTGAGTCTCTCATATGGGAGCAGAGGCTCAAGGACTTGAGCCATCCTCTGCTACTTTCCCGGGACATAAGCAAGGAGCTGCATGGGAAGTGGAGCATCCAGGAAATAAATGAGCACCTATATGGAGCGCAGGAATTGCAAGGTAGAGGATTGGTCTATTGACCCAATGCATAGGCCCCAGTGATGTTATCCTTCCTATATGAAACTATTGGCCTAGGGTTACAATACTGGTTCTGGATCTTTGCTACACATTGGAAAGATCAATAAAATTTGAAAAACAGGATCATAGGACTATACCCAACTAATGAGATTTTAAATTTCCTCAGAGCATTCTCTTAGCACTCTCTGTACTGACTTCTAACTCCCACCAACAGTGAAGGGGGTACGTTTCTCCCACATCCACACCAGCAGTTGCTGTTGGTAGAGTTCTGAATGTAATCGAATCTCACTCTCAATATGCTTTTCATTTGTGCTTCCCTGACAGCTAGAGAACCTGACATTTTTTCATGTCTGTTAGCCATTTGAATTTGTTCTTTTGAAAAGTGTCTGTATTTTCCTCATGTGCAGATTTCATTTCCTTTGCCCATTTCATCACAGAGTTGCTTATTTTGTAGTTGTTGAGCTTTTGATGCTCTTTGTATATCTTGAATATTACTCTCCTAGGGGTTATATAGTGTTTAAAGATTTTCTCCCATTCTGTTGGTTGTTTCTTTTTTTCAGATTTATTTATTTTTATTTCACAGTTAGATATATACAGAGATGAGGAGAGACAGAGAGAAATATTTTCCATCCAATGATACTCTCCCCAAGCGAGTGCAATGGCCGGTACTATGCTGATCCGAAGCCAGAAGCCAGGAACCTCTTCCATGTCTCCATGCGGGTGCAGGGTCCCAAGGCTTTGGGCTGTCCTGAACTACTTTCCCAGGCCACAAGCAGGGAGCCTGATGGGAAGTGGAGCTGCTGGGATTAGAACCGGCACCCATTTGGGATCCTGGTGTGTTCAAGGTGAGCACTTTAGCCAGTAAGCCACTGCGCCAGGCCCCTGCTTCTTTACTTTGTTAAAAAATTGGTCTGCCATATGACCCAGCCATTTCACTTCTGGGAATATATCCAATGGAAATGAAATCTGATAGTGAAAAAGAGTTCTATAATCCTATATTTACAGCAGCACAATCTACGATAGCAAAGGCATGAAAACAACCTGGATGCCAATCAAAAGAGGAATGAATAAAGAAATTATGGTATATATAATCCTTAGACTACTACTCAGCCACTAAAAATAATGAAATTCTACCATTTGCAACCAAATGGTCCCAACTAGAGATAATTATGCTCAGTGAAATAAGCCAATCCCAAAAATACAAAAATACAATGTTCTCTCTTCATGCAAAATGTAACATCAATAGTGCTTTCAATACTGTTATTGCTACATCTCATGGGTTTTAATATTTTTGTTTTTATTTCATGTCTTCAAAATATGTTCTTATTAATTTCTTCACTGACTCATAGGTCACACAAGAGCATCATTTTCTTCAAGAAGGTTCTTGATTTTCATTTCTTCAGCGACACATTGGTTGTTCAGTAGCACATTATTTATCTTCATGTTATTGTAAATTTTCTATTTTTCATCCATTAAAGGGATGTATAGTAACTGTGTAATAGAGACTGTCATATGCAGAGGTG